CTCACGACTCCGGCAAATCGTGCCGCGCTCTGCCGCGATCCGCTTCCGGCCGTCGGAGGGAAATTTCCCTCCGTCAATTCTTCCCGGGGGGAAACTTCCCTCCGTCAAATCTCCCCCTCGCTTTTTCCACGGCGGCCTTGCTCTGCTTATCACGTGGGTCCGGAGAGCCACTCACACGCTCTGTTGGCTGTCGGTCAATCACTCAAGGCCTCCGCTCACAATACGGAACCGCATCGGACGCCATCACGACGAAAGTGAATCTCGACAAAGAAAGCAGACCGAGGCGGGCGAAACGCACCCTTTGACGCAGGAATGTCCCAAATCCACCCAAAGCCGGACCTCCTTGGCCTTCGAGCCGAGGCAACGGCGGCACGCGAGGGCGTTGGCGAGGTGAGCCAGTCGCAGGTGGCGTGTGACGTCAATCTGAAGAGGAGAGCAGTCGTGATCGTAAAAATTTTCACGACTCCTGCAAACATTTTCACGACTCCGACAGACCGTAAAAATAGAAGCGTCCGCTTCAATTTTCACGACTTGCCGGAGTCGTGAGTTTTGTAGTGTCCTGTTTGGACACCCCTTAAGAGCTGCGCTCTAAAAATAGACAAAGCGCCGTGTTTCTCTCTTCTACTGACGCGCCCCAAAAGGGATTCGTGGAAGAGGGTGGAACGAAACCTCTTTCTCCTCCGTGCGTTCGGGAGAAAACTTCAGCTCTCCCGCCTAGTCTTCTTTCAATTTTTGTTCTTCTTTTTCTTAGTTGGGGGGGGGGGGGGGGGGGGGGCAAGTCGAACACGTTGTTTAACAGTTCTGTCAGCTGTGGATACGACAGAGCTTCAGTGGTAGCGGAGGCTGCCTCTAATTTAGTCTCCCAGAGCGTCATTCAGGCCGCGGCCACGAACGCCGTCCAAGACAGCACAGCCGTCACCGCTCTGCCCCTGTCGACATCCTACTGCCCCACGCCCGTTGCTGCTCCAGTGGCCGTCGAGGACGCGCTCGTGTCCGAGCCCGGCGACTTTCTATTCGGAGGCTCAGAAGAGGTCCGACGTTTGAAGGGGGGGAAGTGGGGGAATCGAAGCAAAACTACCTAGAAGACAAGCATATCTATAATGGGAGACCTTGAGACCAGGAACAGAAGGGACAAGTACACGACCGTCTCATAACTAGCAGAGAATGTATTTAAATAAAAACATGCTTCTTTTTTTTTCTAAAAGACATCCTCACACCATCTGCAGTTCTACATCGCGGAAGTCTTGAAGGGGTACGGACACGAAATGTTTTGCACTTATTTTTTCGTTAGGTGTGTTCTATGTTGTGCTGGCACCCCAGAAACACTAGCTTAGACTAGCGTACCTGGGACGTAGGAAGATAAGTGAAGAAAACTAATTTTAAAACGTGTGAAAACATTTCGAAATTGCGTCTGGTGGCGGTCTCGGATATTACTACTAGGCGAGATTGTCACGCGTTGACGTCACCAAGCAGCAAGGCGCGCAACTACAGTACCCTTGACCGTGCATGAACTATTTAAGTCACGAGCGCGATACGCATTGCACATCTCGCAGGTCGACTTCGAAGCGAGGGCTAGAGAGCCGCGCTCAAGTCATTTCGTTTCCGTACCCCTTTAAGCAGGCACCCACTGATTTAAAGGCGGTCTGAAAAGTTCGGTGGACCCCATCAATTATAAATGGTAGAACCATTACGTGCGTTCCTGACGAAGGATTGTAAACCGGTGAATAGCAAACGTAAGACGTGACGGGCGCACAGTGACGGGGTTTCTGTTGTCTCCGAAGAAGAAGACTGAGCGGCTGGATTAAAAACAAATGTTTCTTTAGATGCGCGGGAAGCGGGCTTCGGAAATAAATACGGTTTCTTGAAAAGCTCGTTTTATATTTTGATTGTCTTCTGCTTTCGATTCAAAAGCTGTAACGTGTTTGGATGGGTACAAAATGACTGACTGCTTTTTTTGCGATAGCTTCTTGCAGGTACTGGAGTGCGGAGAGTGGTGCAACGTTCGAAAACTATGGTTACTATTTTTAGTTAAATCGTGGCAGCACTCCGTTTTGAGACCGGCAATATGCCTATAGGCCGTTATTAAGCCTTATGAGCTCAATCCACTCGAACCGTGGCCGCCACGATGAAATGCAAACGAGGGAGGAATATTTCTCCCCCGTTTACAGGGACAGATGATGCTCATAAAGGGCACAGGGGACAAGGGTGTTCCTCCCTTTCTAGAGAAATATAGACTTTCTTTTTCAATAAGTGCACTCTGGACCACGTTACAAGAGTATACAAAAAGGCCTATAGACCTTTGCCTGTTTACTCTGGTGCTCAAGGAAGTGTGTCCGTAGAATTTTCCCCCTAAATTTACCGGCGTCTGCAAGTTCTGTTATTTCTATAGCCTAATTTGGTAGATCGTTTCAATACCTCTGATAACGATACCGGATGTAACTCGTTTATGACCCTTTAACTTATACAGGAAAGGTCAAAAGCCACGTAACGAAAGGCGGCAATTTCTCAAGGCCAGGCTCATACTCGTTATACGTGAAAAGACGCAGCACACTAAAAAGTCACCAGAGCCGCGATTTTCTAATGGGTATCGGTTTTATACACGGTGTTGTTTTTAAGCTTTACGAATTTGCCTAAAAAAGTACCGGGAACGTTTCACTTACGTACTTTGTGCAGGTGACTTATACGGGAAGGGGGACATAATATAGGGGAGCTAATTGTAAGAATCAGTCGGCTAGTTTAGTATAATTTGTTAACTTTTTAATGAGTGAAAATAGACATATGGTTCTATATAGAAACTTGCTAAGCATCATCTAAAATCATTAAATCAATTCTTTTAGCAAGATATAAGACGGGCAGAATTTTACGGTGTTCTGAAAATACACTCAATTTGGACGCGTTCCTAGGTTTGTCTAATTGGAGCGCGTCGGAGCGGCTACAATCCTGCTCCCCACTGGTTGCGGTGTGAAGCCGGAAACACAATTGCGAAAAAAATCAGAATTTTGTGCGATAACCGCACACGAAAATCGCACGGCAGCTAGGCTCGTTCCCTTGCTCCTCCCCTTTTTCGAAAATCGGGAGCGGTTCGAAAGATCCGTAGCGCCAGATATTTTCGCACGGCGCCTCCGAATTCGGGGTGGAGGAGCTCGGTGAGCGAAAGCCCGGAACAAGACGGAACGAAAAGAAACAATCGGCTCGCAACCAGTGTTGCCGAATCGTGAGAAATTTCCCACATTGTGGGTAAAAGCATGACAGCTAGGGAAAAAGGGAAACTAGAATTTAAACACTTGTAAAACGTGGGAAATATTTTTTACTACGCAACTAAACCAAAATTTCATTCATCCTGCTCGAACTTCTCCAGATAACATTACAGCTGTTTTTTCCGCTTTTTCGTCAGGCCTTACATTCACGAAGGAAGAACCATCGAATGAAGGTCTTCAGTACCTAGATTTGCGGCTTCATGTCAGTGCCACTGGACTCTGCTGGGCATTTCAACAAAGGTCTGCTAAACCTGTCCTACCGTTTTCTGGCGCCCATTCGAAGTCGGTAAAACACGGTATCATCAAATCGTTGTTTTCTTCATCCTTCACGAAGTCTTGCTGTCATCTTTCAGAATATAGCTTCAAATTGCAGCACATGAGGCTCGTCAGGGCAGGGTTTCCCGTCGACCTTCTCCGATCTGTAATGGAAAGGATGATTTGCGGGCCTGATCGCCAGTCACCAGCCACAAAAAAGAAAGCCCGATTCACCGTCATTCCTTACGTACACAATTCAGCCCACCAGATAAAATCCATTGCCTCAAAGTTCGACACGAATGTTGTCTTCTCGTGCCGCATGCGTCTTAAACAACTCTGTCAACAAATGAACAACAACTGGATTCCGATTGGCTGCACTGCCAAACACGAAAAGAAATTCATTTCATGCAAAGAGAAGAAAGTTTACTCCGTCCCCTTGAGCTGCGGCCATCAATACATAGGGCACACCGGCAGATGCACCAATCACAGACTCCGCGAACATCACAAAGAAGTTTCTAAGGTCTCTCCAGATTCTTATCATCCCATAGTCATACATGCCCGTTCGTGTTTGCGTTGTCATCCCCTCCTTGATGACACAAAAATCCTGGGGGGCATGACAGCAGATTCGGCAGGGAAATCATAAAATCATTCGCCACGACCACAGCAAAAAACAACGTGTCAAACCCTTCCCTCCTGCTGACGAAAACTGAGGCTGAATTTTTAAAATCCGAGATAACCCTACCACTCTGACTTGCACTTCGCTTTCCTTCTCTCCCCCTTCTCTCCCCTACTCCTACTGGGTATAGTCGGCTGCTCGCTGTTGAAAGTTTACTCGTCTGTTGCTAGTTGAAAGATGCGGTTGTGTTGTCCCTGTTTTAATTGTTTTATTCTTTCTTCATCCATGACTTAAACCAACACGCTCTTCTCCCAAGCTTTAAAAAAACACCCGGTTTTATCGAACTACACTTTGGAGAAATTTGAATGTGGGTCAACTGTGTTTGGTTGCTGGTGAGTGCTTTGTGACGCCTTGTGCTTCCTCGTGATTCAGTCACTAAACGTTTTATTAGTTTGCCAAATCTGACCTGCCTGACCTTTTGGTCTAGTAATCGCTCAGACGCTGAAATGCTGACGCAGTCTATGTGGTAGCCCTGGAACCGCGTTGAACTAGAATGAACGTTTCGTAGTATTCACGAGATCAAATGTACGTGCTACGATAAATGCCGTTTATAACGTTGTCAAAGGCTATCAAGCACAAGGTGAAAGAATGATACGCAAGTAAGCAACCAAGCATAAAGAAATCGCAAGTGTTCTTGGCAACCTGGTAGATGGCGGTAGTGTGTTCTCTCGTGTGGTTAAGCAGGAGGCTGTACAATGCAGTCAGTTACACCCGAATGCAAGTGTGTGAAGCTTGGCGTTGGAACTGCCTGTAAAGCGGGCGGGGTTACCTTAGCCGGCTTTCCTCACTCGTCTTCCGTTCCTCCACAGTTCTGCCCCGCGGCATACGAGCAGGGCGCCATGGACTGGCGCGACCAGCCGCAGCTGAACCTCGAGTACCTGGTCAAGGTGCCCAGGGTCGAGTTGTTCTCCCAGCCGCCGCTGCAGGCCGAACCGAGGAGGCCGGCCTTCGGTACGGACGCCTGCCTGGCCTCTGTCCCCAACTTTCTTGAACTGGTAGATTTGAGAGTGTTTTGAACAACCGCTCAATTCGGATCACGTGTATTATGTGCAGCGGTAAAAGGTGAGAGTAGGTGTTAAAAATATGGACGATCTGTACCCTCAGCCTTCTCCATCCGCCATCCTCCTCCCAACGCGGCAACACACGCATGCGCACAACCAACCAATCAGCGCGGGAGGTGTCCTCCCTTAAATGGCAAACGCTATCCGTGGTTTAAGTGGCTCCATCCTTCTATACTCTCGCCCTCTAAAGCGTTCGCCCTTCCACCCTCCCTGGGTTATATTGAGTGAAACGATTAAGAAAGTTTATTTCAGTCAAGCCTCTGTAGACATATTTTATTGTATGGGGCTCTATAAGAAACCTTTAAAATATCTTGAATTTCTTCTCACGGTAAGGAAGAAGCATGTAATGCTTCCGAGGATTGCAATACCGTGTGACGTCACTTCTGTAATTTGAAAGGTAACGGTTTCCATACCAACTTTTTCATCATCCGGGAAGAAACGTTATGTTTTATAATGTCGCCCATGAACGCACGTGCGAGTTGCCATGAAAATGACTAAATACCGAGAGGATCCAAGAGTCACCAATTTTTGCATTTCACAAACGGAGGTTCAGGGTTAAATTTTCGCTCCAAGCCTAACGTCCCCCCCCCCCCCTCTCCCTTACGCTCATTAGCACATTTGAGAGTGGCCTATCCAAGATCTTCAGAGGTCGCGACTGAACCACGTACCAGACTGCATCGTCTTTCTGAGCTGTTACACACACACATGTGTTGACTGCTTGGTGGACTATTGGTTATGCTCTTGTCGCTTTTGTGGTAGTTTCTTGTTACGTCAAACTAACTACAATATGGGTAATATAATATCACTCCTTATTTCCACCCAGGAGGGTTGAGCTGCGCTAGAAAGGTTGAGGACCATTACCAGTAAACCTATACTCCGCGACAACTTTTCTTGGCAGTGGAGTGTAGGGTACAAGACCGCGTCCCCTCTCCCATTTTGAGTTTGCGCGGGCTCTCCTCCTCTCCCTGGAAATGGGGGAGGAGGAGAGCCTGCGCACACTCAAAATGGGAGAGGGGACGCGGGCTTGTACCTTACACTCCACTGCCAAGAAAAGTTGTCGCGGAGTATAGTACACCAAAATAAAGTAAAAATAGAAAAAGGAGGGAAGGGGGAATTATGGCGTACACAGATGCCGCGCAACTTGGCGGTGTACTGTTCTTATCTCATCTTGCTCATTCAAGCAGAAGTCGAGTGAAGCGAGGGAAGGAGCGCCACCGCGATATGGTGCGCGGGAGGAATAAATGACATGGCGCTAGGTGCGTCCCCGAATGGGAGAAAGGTCGCTGAATATGGTATAAAGCGCGAAGGGGCAGACGAGAGCATGAAGTAGAGAGGGCAGCATGATGCCACAGAACATTGGAGGTTTGTTGGGTTATAGCGCTGTCCTGTCTACTTTATGTCCTCGTCTGTCCCATTGCATTTTATAGTATATTCAGTATCTTGACCCAACCAGCCCACCTTAATATTTTGGTAAATTCGCTTTCGTATACATTGGCATTTTACGTATTCCCACCATCCGACCCTATGTATTTCTATTTCGATTTGTGTGTGGTCGAAACGCGCGGAGCAAGATTTTATTATTTCGCCGTCAGGAACAATGTGATACCCCAAAAACGTCGGAGGTTTGCTAGGTTATAGCGTTGTCCTGTCTACATCGTGTCCTCGTTTGCACCTTTGTGCTCTATATAATCAGTATGTTGAACCAAGCTCCAACTTACCCACCTTGATATTTAAGGCAGGTCGCCGTTTCTTGCGTGGTTACCAAAGAGGCGACTGGATAGGGGAGAAGGGATCACGGGAACGTGGGCACCGGAAGGATGAAGCATAGTGAGCAGGAATCTGAGGCAAGCCGTGTCGTACCTCGCAGAGAGAAAGAGGGAGGAGTAAACATTATTGAAAATCAAAAGGCCCTCAGTTGAAAGCCGTACAATAACATACAAACATACACAGAGACAAAAAAAATAATACTGTCTTAGGCGTCCGGTAGGACATCGCTGATATGGGCGTTTACCATGCCACCGCGTCCGTGTTTTCACTGTGGAAGAGCCACTACTGGAGAGAATGAGGTTGGGAACCAAGTGCGAGGGAGTCAAGGTGCTGTTAACGGGATAGAATGGCGCTTGGGCAGTCCCAGAGTACATTTAAAGTGACAGGATAATCCAAGCAGTGAGTGAATCGGGGGCGGAAGGAGGATCGTTCAAGATAGTGAATCATGTGAGGGGTGGGGAGACTGTGTCTATGCTTGCCGGACAGGAGAGGCGTCTTGGCGGGGAAGAAGTTTGCAGGGGGATGGGGGTAGGCAGGAGTCACCCAGGAGCTCTTGAAGGGATTAACGGCATTCAGCTCGTTCCTGACAGGCCGGGGGTGGTAGTGGTCAAGCCAGGGAGTGAGCGAGTCTCCCTGGCGGATTGCAGCGCGAGAGAGTTGGTCAGCCAACTCGTTGCCCGGCGCTCCGGCGTGGTGTGGATCCAAATTGAGTCTGGGGTGTGGGGTTATGGGGCTAGGTAACCTAGGAAAGAAAAGCTTATATCTATAAGAAATTTCTTGATTCAATAAACGCATATGATCAAATAAGGTCATATAAGAGCATACAATAACCTTATAAGATTATTGATCTTAAATGTATTTTTAAGGTTCTTCCATGCTCTTATATGATCTTATTTGATCATATGCGTTTATTGGACCAACAATGTTTTATACATACAAGACCTTTCAGTCGGTAGACTGAGGATATGTGGATAATGTGGGAATAAAGTGTGGTCAGTGGAGACGCGAAGCGCATCGTAACTGTCGGTGAGGATCATGGGATAGCAAAGAGAGGAGTGGCAGAGAATGGGGGAGGCTAAGGCTTCGGATCGAGGGAGAGGGTGGTGGAGACATGGAAGAAGTGAGCGACGAGTGGGGTTGTTGGGGAGGGACGACAGGCCGCCGAGTCTTCCCGAGGCCCATGAAGGTATGAAGTACCTGCTCATGTGATGTGAGGAGTCGGGGTGTCGATGGCGTAATGTTCAAATGCGAGTCTTTCTGCGGCTAGCATGGTTCACTTGGTGCATGTCGCGAGGTAGAAAAGGGATGTGAATGCGAGGAAAAGTTCACGGGGGTGCTTTCGGTGGGATGGGGGAAGGTTGGTGATGTCGTAGTGGAGAAAGGGGAGCGTCTGTCCCCCGCGATGTTTGAGACGGAGGCATACTTTTTGCGCTAAGAGGTGCATGCCGCTTCGTGTGGCCGGGGGAGGGGGGGAGACCGCTTTCTTGAACTTTAAAAATATGTGTGTTGAAAGGTATTTCGAGAGTCAGGCGGGCGGCGAGTCGGAGAGGTCTTTTGAGTTGCTCTAGTTGGGAGTGGGTAAGGCGTAGGTACTTTAGGGCGTACATAGCCCGGGAGTAGAAAATATCCTCAGTGAGACGACTTACGTCATGCTCCTCGACGCCCTAGTGTTGGCGGGCCACGCGGCCCATAATTTGGCCACATGAACAAATTATGTGAGTTGTGAGACCAAATCGGGTGAGTTGTGTGAGCCGACACCCGCAGGAGTGAAGCCATTTGGTAGCTTTGCCATCTTCCGTGAGTTAGAAGCCGGGGACTTTGATGGTTCGTTGACGAGGAAGGGGGTGTCGTGCAGGGTGAGTTAAATGAGGTCCCAGTCAGCTTCAGCGCGTTACCGGTTGGGGTGTTAGGGACTACGAGAATTTCATATTTAGTGGGAGAAAACGTGAGCCCTACTTGGGGGTGGGAGTAGTGGACGATGATATCTATACCTTGTTGAATAGTGGAAGAAATAGTGCCGGGGTTGCCTGTGAAAGTCCAAAGGATTACGTTGTCTGCGTTGTGCCCAAAGGAGAGAGAAGGCACTCTCTCAAGGAAAAGGAGAAGAGACCGGAGGGAGAGGTTGAAGAGCGCAGGGGAGAGAACAGAACTTTGGGGAACTCCGCGAGATGGTGCGCAATAGTTTTGGCGGTAGCTTGGTAGCTGCATTGCGTGGCAGATGCTAGTTTGAAAGTGTTCGATATAGTTGAAGATGTAAGAGCTAAGGGTGAGACGTTGGAGTTGTTTGAGAATGGCTGAGTGGAAGACGGTATCAAAAGCCTTTTGGAAGTCGAGATCAACGATGCAGCGCAGTTGATGGATGCTGGAGTATTGATAAACCTCCTGCTGGATGCGAAATATCCTGTCTTGTGTGCAAACTTGGGCAGGAAATCCAGTCATTGTCCACTGAAGGGAATCAGGTTGGCCGAGATGCAATGAGAGGCGAGCGATGACCATTCTATTCATGCGTTTATTAACACAAGACGTAAGCAAGATAGGTCGAAGGGTGTCTAGGATAGGTTTCTTACCAGCTTTCAGGATAGGAACGATGCGGGAAGTTTTCCACTCCCCGGGAAGGATACCCGTGTGCCATGCAGACGAGGAAGGTTTTTAGGGCTCTCTGAGGGAGATTGCGGAGTTGAGTATAAATGATGCTATCAGGGCCAGGGGTCCTGCGCTGTTGCGACTGAAAAAGGGGTGTGCGGTGCTCGGCTGCGCTGAAATCAGCATCAATGGGAACGGCAGTGGGCTTACCTTTTGGTGGGTTTAGTGCTGGTAAGATAGGTTGCGGGGGAAATAATTTGGTGTGGAGTCCGGTAGCGAGATCGAGATCTGCAAAGCCAGTAGAGAGTTGTAACTGTAGAATGTGTGTGTCAACACACTCCTCCCCGGACATCGCTTGGAATATCTGTCATACTCAGGCTGTGAGCAGCTGTCCACTAAGCGAGTCGCAGAGGTGGAGTCTGTTGATTGTCTCCAACTTTCGTGCGTAGTCCAGGGCCTTCGCTGTCAGGGTATCCAGCTTTGATTTGAGCAAATGATTCTTTTTTGTTTTGTTTTCACGTCTTTGAAGAGGGCGTGGTGTTCATGCCAAAGTTGGAGAAGGTGTGAGTCAATGGCCGGGGTCAGCTGAAGGGCCTATGTGAGGTCGGATATGAACACTATTGTTTTGACGTATGGGTGATGTGAGGTTGCTACATTGGGTAAAGCCGAGGTTTTGGGTGGAGGTGCGAAGGGGATGGCTTGAGTGTGTGCTGTATCTGTGGAGCCAGTCGGGATGGGGAGCGTGGAAATCTCCAGCCTGTACGACGGGGGAGCAAGGGGCTCCTGAAGGAGGTGTGCAAGCCATTCGAGGGAGTATTCGGCGGACGGGGTACAGAAGGTATTGAATATTAAGATGGGATAGAGGAGGGAGGAAGCTTTGTGAGAATGCATACGTGTTCTGTATGTGGCGTGTTGTAGGGACTGGTGTCGAGCTTTACAGCGGACTGTGTTTCGGGAACGTAGGTGACGGTATATATAGAGGTATGTGTTAGACCTTTGGGAAGTATGCTTGCTTCAATATAAGAAGCGTAGCCAGTAATATAGTAGAGGCGAGCGTCTCTTGCAAAAGGATGATGGCGGTAGAATCGGTAAGATATTTTAGGCTAGAGGCGAAAAGCTGCGGCCATCCTGAGAAGCCCGCGACAGTGCCATTGAAGAATGTATTTGGAGGCCATGATGTAAAGTGTGGTGGGGTTTTTTATGTCCCTAGTGGCGGGTGAAGGGGAGGAGGGGGTAGGGGGTAGGGCGCTAGTAGAGTGTGCTTCGTGATAGTTTTTAGTTGTGTCTGCAGTTGTTCCTGCACCCCGGTGAAATGATCGAAAGCTGCGTATATATCTGCTCGATGTGCGCGTTTGACTGCGCGTTCTTAGTGTTGAGCTCTTTGATAGTACTTTCCGTGCTGATGTAGATGGTAGGAACGCGGATGGTAAGCTTTTTGATGGCAGCAAGAAAGGTAGCGAGTGTAGAAGGGGAGTGCTGTACCTCTATGGTAGCGGTGTTGAGAGGGGGAAAGGCTTGTAGTGCGTTGGGTGGAGCGGGAGCGGAAGGGGGTAGGAAAGCTTAGGTTTTCTTCTTTTTTTTTTGGGGGGGGGGGGGAGGAGAAGGGGGAAGTGGCTTGTTCAAATGATGAATGATATTAAGAGCCGCGGTGTACAAAATGTTGCAATTGGGTGCAATATTAGCCGAGGAAATTTGAGGGCCAGCATGAGGGCTTGCGTCCTCGGCAGTCCCGTGAGGCGGCGACGCGAGGGAGATAAAAACCGGCAGGTGCAGCAGGGAGACCAGCGAGCGGTGCGGCTGCAGGGTCGGCTGTTGGATCGTCTTAGGGCAGCAAAGCGGTTGCTGGTGAAAATGGGGGTGCGTGGTCGGCGAGGTGTAGCGGAAGGGTTGCTGGGAGGCGGGGTATGGGGAGGTAGGCTCTAGATGCCGTGTCGTTGGCGGTAGGTGGTGGTCACTGTTGCTTGTGTTGCTGCTGCCCTCTGCGGACAGCGGGGTCTGAAGGACAAGGAGAGGGGAAGAGAGGGGGGAGGGGACTCCCCACAAAAATGGCAATGAAGTTCACAGAGGCCTTGATCGTGGTTTGGTGTGAAAGGGCGACTGTAGGCGGAGCAGATTGTGGGTTGGTGACGATTCAGACAACCGTCCTGCCGGTGTCCTATATGGTAGCATTGGGTACAGAGTTGGCTCTTGGGGCGTTAGAGCTGACAGCAGTAGGGGCACCTGTTGACCAGCACGTGGCGCCAAGACGATTTTCATAGTGCTGGAGAGGCCCATCCTTGGGCTTCCAAAATGTTGTCTCCCTCTACTTGCAGCATTGCTTGCATCTGGGGACGGGTCGCGTCGGTGATTCCGTAAATCACCCAACGGCATGTATTGTGGCCCGTTGACGCGTAGGTGGTGACAGAAACACGAGCGTTGTCTGGGAGGTGGAACTCCTTAAGCATGAGGAGCGTACCTTTTTGTGTTCAGAGTAAAACTGTGCAGCGATCACTTTTTGAGTAGGTTTTAGTTTTTCGATAGAGATTTGGGCTTGGCTTCTTTAGCGGCGAGGGCGGCGGCAGGGGAGAGGACATTTTAGAGAAAATGGCAGGAGATGGAGCTGATTGAGATGCCTCCGATCGCCCGATTGATGATGGTTAACATAAATGGGTGATGCGGGCTGCGAAAACTGATGGTGTTCCATTCTTAAGGGGGGTCGGGGTGGCGGCTGCGGAGTTTTCAGGTTCCACGGTGTAGGAAATTGGGGCCAGGCGTGCCTCGCGCCAGGCTGGATAGAGGGCCTGCCGCGCCGAGCACCTGGCCGAAAGCGAGGCTCGATGTTTATAATAGGATCACGTTCTCGGTCTCTGTGGTTTGCGGGGGCCGGGGAAGTCGACCGATCTCGTCGGAGGTTGAAACGAGACTCCCTCGCAGAAATGTGCTGCATGGAGAGGTTACGCCGTTCGGATGTACCTGTTGAAACGAACCGGGCGGCTCACTCGAGAAACTTAGGGGAGCCAGTTTGGGCAGGGTATTCGAGCTTGGGTCCTAGGAGAGCGGCCGTGAGATCGGCTACATCTTTGCAAGGGAGCGGCCTGGACGTTTTCGTGAGGATACGCACGTGCCGTGACAGCATCTACATATTGAGCCAGTTGTCCTCTTTAGCCCCCATGCGTTTTAAACATTCGTTTCTGGGGCTGGCGGACAATTCGTAGTCAGTGCTGGTCGCCGTGCTCGCGATGTTAGCTTGCGGCGAGCATTATGGAGCACTTTCAAGGTTTAAGCTCAACTGGGTGTGTGTGGACTACATGGGGATTTCTTTTACATCTTCTTGGGGGGGGGGGGGGGGGGCTGTAGAAGTACCTTGATAGGAAGGGGTGTATAATGGCCCGATTATCGGCATAAAGAAGAGTTTTGTAATTAAGTTCAAGAACGACGTCTTTGAGGAAAACGATGAACAGAACTGATCCCAGCACGTTTAACGACCCCCAAGGTTTTTTTTTGCCGTCCAGGGCATCGCTGTGGGTGTGGACTGCACGAGCAAGAGCTGAGTCGCTACTGCGGCCGGCCTAAATGAAAATGGTACACTTTTTGTGAGACCATCTTGGTGAAAGTGAATTGCAAATGTGAGACTTTAAAGCAAAATGAGAAAGTAAGACATTAAAGCGTTACAACCAAAAATACAATATACAGCTGACCGCCTTAACAGGTCTTCTTCGAGGCTGGGCGTGCTGCATCTCTTCCTTTCGATCGTGGGACCATTGCGATAGCCAATGGTGTTATTACAGGATGTCGGGCTATGTGATGACCTGACGCATAAATTAATGCACCTAGATTGAATGCCTTTTTATCACAACAGCGCTAACTCGCCGCTATAGGCATATGCTCATTTGGTGCTATATTAACAATGTATCAGCGCTCTGATATATCTATCTTATTTGTATACAATGCAACGCTAAATCACCACTTAGTAGTGACAGTAGCGCTCGTCGCTGATCCAGGGCTGAATTTCGATTATTTCCGCGCAGAGAGGCATGTGCGTGCCGGCCTTACGAACTGATAAACGTATTTTAGGCATGGCAATCTTGTCAAGTATAAAAAAATAACTTTTAAAAATGTATATATTTTAAAGTTTTATATGGAAGCCCTCCAGGGACCTTGTTTGCTCGTGTTGGAGTTGGTCGCACCGTAGCAAGGTCAGAAACGGAGCGATCCTCTTGTCCTGACGTCATAGTTTATTCCAAGTGACGTCATGATGTCACGTGACGTAAATGTTTATGTTACGATATCACCTGGCCCCATAGTTCCAAGTGACATTTTGATGTTACGTGACGTCACAATCAAGGTCAAATCATGCCGCAGTGTCTCTTGAAGTGACGTCACGATTTCCTCATTTGGTTTACCGGAGAAATACCTCGGTTATATAGCAATAGGATGTGCTGCTTGTTGAAAAAAAAACAAAGTTTTATTGCGCCTTCACTGCTTTTGACAGAAGGCCAGCGCCCTGCCATATACCATGTTGATGCCGCGTCTCATTCTCTCAAAGAAAACCTCAGAAGGAAGTCGGAAGAAAAGCTGTAGTGTGCGAATTCTCCCTCTGCTCGGCAGGCGAGACCCCGCACTGTCTGTGCCCTCCGTTCGAGTGCGTGTGCGGCGGGAGTCCCATCACGAGTCCTGGTCCCTCCCGTCGGCAGGACTACCGCCAGGCGCCGGACCCGTGCAGCATGGCCAACATGATGTCCTCGGCCATAGAGATGCACGCGGATTCCGTGTTCCAGGTCAGAGGTTGTCCTCTCCAGGCACACAGCCAGGGTGTCACTTTGGTAGAGCTGATTCAGCTGCACGGTCACGTCGCAGCCTCCTGGATAGAGCAGATGTGAGGCTAATGGCCAGCCTTCCTTAAGTGAACCGTGGAGGTCTTGATATTTCCCCACCTGTCGTGAATATTCAAGAGTGTTATCAAAAGGCAGTTTCTCGTATATTGTTCCCACGAGCGTCAGGTGGCACAAAGCAAAAACACAGCTGTTAATATATGTAAAAAGTCGCTCGCGCTATAATGTACAGTATTTTTCGGGCATCTAATTATTCATTGTTGACACTGCAGTCGATAGGCAGACTAATTATTCGTTGTGATTTTGTAAAAGAACAAGATCACAACCATGGGTAGGAGCGGCCGTCGGCTCAACAGTGTAATACTAAACCTAAAAAGGATTGGGGGGGGGGCTAAAAAAAATAAAAGCCGTTTACAATTCCATGTAACGCCGGTTAGAGCGCAGAGAAGATGGAAGCGTACTGAGGGATAGGTGACTCCTTGAGGTCACGTGACCTCCAGGGGGTCACGTGACTTTTTGAGGTCACGTGAGTTCAGGGGGTCACGTGACTTCAGGTTGTCACGTGACCTCGCGGTTACGCCGACGCCGCTCAAGCCGGAAACGGGCCCCTAAGAGCTGCGCTCTAAAAACTGTCAGTGATGCAGGACCGCTGACCCTTGATAGTGGGACAGTGACCTCGACACCAATTCAATTCACCGATAAATTTAGTGGGAATTAAATTGGTGTTGACGTCACGTGACGTCAATTTTCACGCTATATCTAGTGGACTAACTGAATATGTTCATAGATGACGTGACACCAACTCATGCGACGTCCTTTTCCCCGCTAAATTTAGCGGCGAAACTGCATTGGATGAGGAGGGGATGGAGGAGGGAGAGGGGCATGCCCTTCCCCCTCAATACCCTCCCCTCCTCCTCCTCAAGAGCTGCGCTCTAATTTTGCATTACAAAGATTTGTAAACGTCTTGTATTTTTGCGCTGTATGTCTTTTAAGGCAAATAATAAAGTTCCGGTTGAATACATGTTCACTTACACAGCACATTGCTATTTCAGAGCTGTCAGACGGCGCTGGAAATAGCGCTGAACTTGCACTTGCAGCGCTGACTTTGCGCTATATTAGTGATACAGAGCTGAGACAGCGCGGCATAAGTGCAGAGTTACCATTCAAGTGGGCGCTGGATCAGCTGTCTTCCTAGTGTTGAAAGAGGCCTGCCCCTCTACGTGTTAACCGACCTTAGAAGGCGCTGATGATAATGCAATTAATGACAAGGTGCACGCGCGCTGGACAATAAAAACTATAATATTTATTGGAGAAGGGGAACACAAAGCACAAGCACAAATCTTCAAACACAGCTAGGTGACTCGTGGGCGACCTAAAAAATCAACCTGGTCCTGGTATCGAACCAAGGACCTATCCATTTCCAGTGGAGCGGTCTACCAACTGAGATAACCAGGAGTTAGACGTCAGTAGAGCAAACGGGTTTTATCAGCTGCGACCAGTCTAACACCAACAAGTCGGCCGGCATTTTAAGGTTATGACAATAACCTTAAAAATGCAAAAGTGCAATTAATGCAAAAGTGCAAGCGAGCGCGATTAATGCAAAAGTGCAAGCGAGCTGGACAAGAATGACAAAATAATTCCTGGAGAAAGGGGACAAAGAACAAACCGGTTCCCCAGGGATTATTTTTGGTCATTCTTGTCCAGCTCGCTTGCACATTTGCATTAATTAGACTATATTCCTAACCTTGAAGTGCAAGCCTTTTACCTTTGTTGATGTTAGAATGGTGGCAGCTGATGAAACCGGTTTGATCTACTGACATGTAACTAGTGGTTAGCTCAGTGGGTAGAGCGCTCCAGTGGTTCGATACCAGGTACAGCGCTCCCTGGTTCGATACCAGGTCCACGCGATTTTTTAGAGCGCAGCTCTAAGAAGGCTGTTTCCGGCTTGAGCGGCGTCGGCGTCACCGTCGGCGTAAATTGAGGTCACGTGACCCACGTGAGGTCACGTGGCCCCCTGAGGTCACGTGACCGCCGCGAGGTCACGTGACCCCGGTGAGGTCAAGTAACCCCGGTGAGGTCACGTGACCCCGGTGAGGTCACGTGACCCCCTTGAAGTCACGTGACCCTCGTGAGGTCACGAGGGTCACGTGACGTCATGAACGTCACGTGACCTCACGGTTACGCCGATGGCGACGCCGACGCTGCTCTGAGGGAGGAGCAGCAGGCAGGATGAGAAGGTGAGGAGGAGGGAGGAGGGGTATACCCTCCCCTCAGTACCCTCCCCCTCCTCCTCAAGAGCTGTGCTCTAATTTGGTGTTTCAGGGAGTTGTAAAAGGTTTTCATTCTTTTTTAGTCGTGCACCAGTCACGTAGCTGTGTTTGGTTATTTGTGTTTGTTCTTTGTCACCCTTGTTCCCCCTCTCCATAGATGATTAATGTCACACTTAAAAGGCGCATTTCAATTTTGACGGCAGTCGCCAAGGTTGGTTGCGTTACAAAGCGCCGCACGTTTGTATTAGCTACATTGAGCTTGTCCATACCTACGGTTCTATCTAAGTGTGACTAGACAGTTGCTGACTAGCAAATACTCGTCAGCAACTGCGCTTAACTTTTCTCGCGTCGAATATGTGGAACAAAGTGTCTCACATGGCGACTTCTGCTAAAAACAAAACAAAAAAGAGAAATGTCCATAACTTCTAAAATTGTCAGTCATGGCCCGCCTAATTCAGGAGATCGATTAATTTGTTCTATTCGATTTCAACTAATAATTGTTTACAAATTTAATATTGCTCGCTCAAAAGGGCTTCACGGAATATGCGCATTTTTGGGGGGTCCAAAAATTTAAACATACACATGGTAGTAACGTACAGCAGGTGTATACTTCATTTTTTGGGGGGACGCTGAAGCGTCCCCGAATTACTACATTTAACACACTTCGATCGCGACAGGGCCTTGCACGCTTCGCGTCGAGCGGGTGAGTAAGCAGGGATTGATTCGAAACGACTCCGGAAACCAAATTCTCTTTGCCACCTATTTTGAGGAAATGTTTGTTCACTGGCTTCCAAAATTAAAAAAAAAGGAATCAACTTAGAACTAATCAGAGACCAGCCCTCACAGAACAGACTGGAACCAACATGATACACGGAGTCGCTTTCACTGGTGTGTTTATTACGCGCCCGATAGGTTCTCGAATTTAGTTTTTCTATATTTAATTTAATAAGACATTCCTTTTTCAGTTTTTTTTTTGTCCAAATAATATTAAGAAATATGCCCTATTCGCCGAGGTAAATGTTGTGGGGGGGGGGGGGGGTACAGTGCTGGTTAAAGGAACTGTGCAACGATATTCAGTTGGAATGTTTTTCACTATACACGAGCTTACTGGCACTAGTGGGACTCAAGGATACTCGCACGCAACGCCACTGGCCAAGGAACTCCTTTGTTGCGGTGTAATTTCAAGGACAAAAGCGATCATTTTCATTCAATCTCTCCTTTGCGAAATTTCATGACGTAACGTGGGTATCGCAGTACACCCATATGACGATATTTGAATGCTGTTCATAGATTGGACCCGAGCACTGCGTGGGCACTCGATTTGGGCTCGTGATAATTACTAGCTCGAGCAGCATTCGGGTAGTGGCCCGCGTCCAATCGCTGCGACGACGACAATAGCCGAGCCATAACAATGTCTGGAACTCAGCGCGTGTCCTGTGCTTTGCCAACCCCAGCGCGTGGCTATGATCTACATTGGCGGCATATAATCGGCTCCAGATCGCGTGGCCGCTTGTTCTGGCTGCGAGTTGAGGGGGTGAACGCTGCTCGTTTTTCTTTAATTTTTTTCTGGGACTTCTATTGCGTGAAGTGAAAAACGAACGCGTGTTTCATATGTCCTTAACGTCAGGGATCTGTTCTAAGCGGTATTTGCGCAAAGTACAAAAATTGTTGCATCGCCCCTTTAAGGCCGGTTCTCACATGCAGCGAAGCGCTGATGTAGCGCTACTCACGTGTCGTCTGCTACTTATAATCTGCCATGAGCGCCAGTTATGACAGTGCGATGCAAAGCTGGCGAACGCTCCCGTCAGCACGCGCTTAGCGCGAGGTTAGCGCTATGCTTGTAGCGCTCCGCTACATGTGTGAACAGGCCTTTATTCTAATTTTAGAGCGCAGCTCTTACGCGCCCATTTTCGGCTTTAGTGGCGTCGCCGTCGACGCCGCCTGTGGCTTCGGCGTAACCGCGCGGTGCATTATAGGACGCTTCCCTTAATTACGTCACACGTGACGTCACGAGGGTCACCAGTGACATCACTCGTGACGTCACCGCCCGTTGCATTATGGGTAAATTTCCCTGTTAAACGTTGCGGAAAAGTCTCCCCGCTAAATTTATCGGAAAATTTTCCACGCTAAATTTAAGAGAAATATTTCCCCGGTAAATTTAGCGAAAAATATTCCCCGCTACACTTAGCGGAAAATATTCCGAGCTAAACTTAGCAGAAAAAGTTCCCTGCTAAATTTGGCGGAAGAAAATTTCCGCTAAATTTAGAGGAAAAATGTCTCCGTTAAATCTAGCGGGAAAACTGCCCGCTAAATTTATCAGAAACAATTCCCCGGTAAATGTGGCGAAAGAATTTCCCCGCTAACTGTATAGGAAAAATTTCCCCGCTAAATTTATCCTAACAATTTCCCCGCTAGATTGAGCGAAACATTTTCCTCGCTAAACTTAGCGGGAAAAATTCTCCGCTAAATTTATCAGAAAAATTTCCCGGCTAAATTTAACGGTAAATATTCCTCGCTAAATTTAGCGGGAAATTTTCTCTTAAATGGGAGGCGAGCAGGAGAGGAGAAAGGGAGGGCACGGATGAGGAGGAGGGCATACCCTCCTCTCCGTACCTTCGCCCCTCCCCCTCCTCAAGAGCTGCGCTCTAATTTGGCGTTACAAAGGATTGTAAATGTCTTTCATTTTATTGTCCATTTTTTTTCTGTACTGGGGTAGTGCAGAGGACGCCAAAATCCCAGCACTTCGACAACTCAGCGCCAAAAATAATAGTTAGGACGACTACGCCTGCCACGTTTTCAAGCTTTGGTAAAATATTCTAGCGCCAATATCACTTCACCACATAAACACAACGCGTGAATCAGGCTTTGTCGGGCTTTAACCCAAACAGCGCGTGAAGCGAGCTGACGAGCGGAGGGATCCCAAATTGGTGCAGTCTGCCCTACCTGCAACGTCACAAACGATCATGATGGCTGCTAAAGAAGCGCCCACTTTTAAAGTCCCTCAATAAAATTCACGCTTTCAAGTGCCGCCAACTATGGTTGTGGAAACGCGCGAGATACCTGCCTTGAGCGGGTGCTCCGCCGCCATTCGCTTCCAAGGGCCGCTCATCTCAGTGCCGCGCCGCAATTTGTTGCGGAATGCCTCTCAAGACACGGGCCTTTTGCACTGACACATTTGACGCTACTTGGAATACAAGCACAAACACATTGCACTAAATTGGTGTGTCTTCCTCAAACGGGCGACCTGTCTCTCAGCTGTAGATGAGCAAATTTTCCAATGTGGTGCGATCAGACTGGAGTTCTTAGCGTGCACCGCTCACTAGTGATACACCACCGCACGTCGGTACGATGTTCATCCAGGTTGAAACACTCAAGGGTGGGGATTGAGCCCAGGATTCCTAGGTTCTGCAGCGCGATCTTTCATTCCACGTGCCCAGAATTGTTGTGCGCTAGCCCACTCGGCCACCAATCCGTCTCAAACAGATCGAGAGGCTTTATCCACTGCACTTCGGGCACGCCGCAGATAGAGTTACCAGGCTCACTTATTTTTAGCAACACCGTGTTATTCTAACACGACGCATAGCAGGGCCTAGCCAAACCTGGACCCCTGTACCGATCTCGCCATGGCATTCCGCATTGACCCTTTGGATGCCAGGTTTATATGTCCCTCATGCTGAACGCAAATGTTTTGTTTCAGTAAAAATGCTTTGTAAAGAATATTTATTTATAAGGCACACTATTTGTTAAGCAAAAGAATTAACTGATGTCTGCATGCATCCAACCTGTAATTCTCGCATAGTATTTTTTTAGACGCGGTACTATGCAGTGGCACGTTGTGCTCGCACAATGAGGTTAACATTTTGTGCAGCCTTATTTGGCCTTTGCTTATTCGAAACTACAAATTTCTTGTTTTCAAACTTTTTGAATACCGACTTAAAATTGGAAATTTATGCATCTCAGTGTTCTACATAAACAACATGTAGAATCGCCGTTCTGTTACATCGAAGGAGCATAGCAAAGCAAAAATCGCATAAAAATGCATACCATCAAAAAGTGGCACCGGAAGGTAAAACATTATCGCTCGCTCTCACATGCCGTTTGAAGTAAGAAATGTGAGCTGCAAGGTGCTGAGAGCAACCCCGAAACGGGGAAGTATATACACCTGGGAAGTCGAAGAAAGCTCCGGAATGCGCTCTCAAAATCGCCAAATTACCTTTACTTTGCAGGTCATCGACAAAATCCTGTCCTCAGACAAAGCGGCTCCAAAGGACCACTACGAGTTCCAGTGCACAGACCCGTCCAACGACGCTGCGTTTCACGCGAGCCGAGAAAGTTCGTCGGGTATCGGGGACGATTCTTCGACATGGAGGACCGCCGCCAAAAACGCCGGGGACTTTGCACACCCTGCGTCCTTCATGGTCCTGGAGCAGCCCGCAAGACCCGAGGCCAAGGCTTGCTCCACGGCACCACACTGCGATGAGGACTACGTGCTGACATCGCTCGACGATCCAGACATCTCGCAGAGGTTCTTCGCGGCCATCGACAACATCTTGCAGGATTACGGTGGGGAAGCGCCCAGCACCGGGTGGAACGGGGAGGTGTCCCATGCGCACACGCTGGACGGTGCCCAGGAGACCGGTGGGACACCGCAGGAGCTACGAGTGAAGGGTGAACACTCGGCGGACAGAACCATGTGTGTCTACTTCCACGCCGGAGGCGGTCCGCCCGGAAGGGGCTCCTGGCAACACGGCGATGGCCACCCGCTGAGGCCGTGCCAAGCAGAACTGGCATCGTTTGGAGTGCACCCAATGCCCTAGGGGCACATAGTCATCGCGTTCCGGGATCTCCAATAAATTTATGCTTAAGTTTCAAATGGCGAGGCTGTAAACGATCATTTTGAGAGCTCTATCGTTCCTGATGAGTCTAGGCTTGGGCTACAGTGGTTAGTCGTCGACGCACCAAGGTGTGGACTAGACTCACTGCATCTTCCCAGAGTACCAAATTCCTTTCAGTTCGCTTACCGGAAGTCAATCCCTCCAAATCCAGTTTCAATTGGCTGGTTTAGCCCACGGCGAAAGAGATGAATCGGCCATTTTAAAAATACCCCCCCCCCCCAAAAAAAAAAAAGAAAAAATGCATAAAACGTTTTTGCGTTATCATGGGCATGGCGGGTAAGCACGGGTGGGAGCTCTGGGCATTGATAAGTTAGGACCGAACGGAGGGTGCATTGATTATGCCTATACTCGGCGACGACTTTTCTTGGCAATGCAGTAGAGAGGAGGAGAGCCCGCGCACAGCTTTATTCAGCACTTAAAATGGGAGAGGGAACGCTTGCCTGTACCCTCCAGTGCATTGCCAAGAAAAGTTGTCGAGTATAGTTTTCTTTTTTTTTTTATATATATATCAAGTGGCCACTAATCTGGTTCGCCAAAGATGATTGTCGGCTTGTTCGCTCCCTCGGGTTTCGCTGGTGCTGCGTTTCAAACTCTACGCCTCAGAAGCTAAGCCTAACACTCGTCTTCGATTTGTTACGAGGCGAGAGAGATAGAGAGAAAGAGAGATGCAACTGCGAGGAGCAAGTCACACACCGCTCAGAATACAGTGTTGCTCAGAATGAAGGAAAGGACTTTATTAATAAAAAAAAAATATAAAGTGTCGCCACAAACCAGAAAAGTGGATTGAAGAGCTCGCACGAGAACGAACTCTACACTGCACGCGCTTCGCTTCGACCACACAGGGCATCGCCATACTGGGGATGGGTTTTAGCGAGACTGCTGCGCTGCTACTCGGTTCTGAAAGGAAGATTGGGAATTTCGGTACTCTCGGAACATTCAGTGACTCTAGTGTGGACATGGCGTCCAAGGTTCCAGCTGCACTGATATTTCCTCGTGCGCTTAGAAACAGAGGCAAGCCAATAAAAAAAAAAATGTCTGCGTTTTTTTTTTTTTTTTTTCAAATCTTTGCAGATGAGGATGCTTCAAGCACAACCTTAGACACAATGAAAGAAATATTGTGTCGCCACAAATTGTTGTGGTGAAAATACTTTCATCAAGGTCGGGAAACTGTGGCCAGGTCAATTGACAAACGGAAGGAGTTCCCAAGGCTGCAAGCGGAAAAACACCTGAAAGTGAAAGAGCCAGACTTGCAGGTGTGACGGACAAGGAGGAAGGGAGGTTCTTCAGAGGCCCGTCCATGTTCAAGGGGCGATATCAGCTGCTGCTTCTGGTTGTCAGGATTAGTTTAAGCGGCTCGACTAGGACGGAATTATAGGCATTACGTCAGCAATGGCCATCCACGGTTTCGAGCAGTTTTCGACGAGTTGCTTCCAGGAAGAATCTCGATTTCAAAAACCTTGGCGGAGCAACCTTGAACATCGTGACTTCTCGTATGCGGTAAAACATCGTTCTCATCTCTTCACGCCGCTGGAGGATGTTTACAGAAAATGCGTGATTGACACATTTTCTTGTTTTGACTCACCTGTATTTTCTCGTGTATGCCCAGGTTTAAGCATTTTATTATGTTTTCTTTCCGCATAGCAGATACGCAACCCACATGACTGATAACGTCAGGAAACAAAAAATGTATATTGATGACGTTGCTGTTTACCTGGACAAGGAGTATTATGCGATGTTACACTGTTTACACATCATACAAAATACAGTCTGCTGATATTGGTCACAGCGATATTCGGGGGCCGAATGCCGCGTGCCAAGTTTTCGCTTGAACTCATAGTCATGCGGCATTTGAAGCCTGCATCTCGTGGTTACTTACATTCTAATCTGTTTGCAGACTGTCTTGAATATGATGGTATAAGCAGTGCACCCGTGCTATAAAAAATACTCTGGTCGTTATATAAGAAAAACAGGTCTGTGTATGACAATTTGCGTACATGATTACGCTAAATTAAGCAGTAAAGGCCTCTTCATATTTTTTTTTCTTGCGTTTCTTTACGTAACGTTATGAGTCACCGGCCCTTACACGCTTCGTATACACTATTTTGGTGTTTACAAACATAAACTGCCGCTTGCGTCCTAAGTGACTTGCGGTTCTCTCCGTTTCTGCAAGCCTTTCGAGCTTTCTTATGTCACCAGTGCTAGAAAGCATAAATGCTACACGCCCTTCGGCTCTACAATTTAACAGCTCGGGGAAGGCAACTTGTTTACCAGACTATTCGGAAACCTTTAACAGATCTCCGGCCTTCTTCATTCTTTTAGCTTTCACTCGGAGAATTGGTGATTTTACGTTTCATCGACATTCCAAGCAGCGGTGCCGAGGTGGGCTTTGCTCAACCTTTTTTATGAACCGGAAGTCCTCTGGGAGGTCAAAGTACCGCCCAGTGGTGTTCGCCAGGGAAAGAGTCTACATTTTGAGTAAAGAGCAACTCCTTAAATTGCTCGACACGCCTCATGTGCAGCACGGATGTACCGGGCATTCACGGCGTAAGCAGACACTAGCTCCCCCAACGTAACGCAACCCAAGCAAACAGTACGGTCTAAGCGGGCCTAAACGAAAACTCCCCTCATTTTTAAAGCAGAATATGTTATTAGGCTGGCGCCTAACCATATCCGGTTACGCGACAGCAACGGAAACCGACAGGCCGACTGCCAGCCGAAAGCTGACTCAACGCTCGTCTCCTCGCTGATTGGACACCAGCGACAGCCGAATTTCTTTCTCGAGTGCCGCCACATTGCTCCTGGCAAGAGTAAAACATCTCGTGTACAGACACACTGCGACATTCTGCTCCGTGACACGAACGCGCTTCGGGCTTCCACAGAGAAAGAGCGCAAGAAAGAGTGACAGAAAACAGACAAAAATGCAAGCAGGCTATTTCGCCGTAACACATTAAGGTAGTTCTGAGTGTTCAATTGTTCTCTTCTGCCGCAAGCTGGTGCCAGTGTTCTGCTCGGCGTCGCCACGTTTCAATTGTTCTGTTTTCGGTACACTACGTTTACTACGTTTCACACTCCAAAAGCTCTAAAAAATCTCATTCACACCGTAACCGCAGGAGGTGGCACCCGCAAGTAAGACATCCACGGAGCGCTCACGCTCTTACTTTGCATGACTCTGGCATGGCATAGGGTCGCTTCGCTCCATCCAGTTTCCACATATGTACTCAGATTCTGCACACTAACTCACTAACACTATACGATTATACAAAGAACCAAGACACGCTAAAAACTGAAATTATTATTCAGTAGATTATCTTCCTCAACCTTTGTGTAATCGTTTAAGGTGCTTTGGGGCAACACGACTGAAACAGCAGCATAACGTAATGTCCATCATTCCGGCAACTTGTTGCTCAAACCCCGTGTTGCACGACAACCCTGTCAACAGCGGCACAACATGCACGAAAAAGACAATGTGGCCAGGGTGTGACACCTTTCGGCAGCAAAAAACAGCAGCAACATGTGTTGCACGACGTACAGTACGTTGCCCAGATCGGTGGATGAACGAATTTTGTGCCGTCAACACGACAACACAGGTAACGTTGATGGCAGGGCTAGTCCCCTATCATTAACCCTTTACTCGAATCTTGGAAAACGTTATTTAACAGTAATTAAGGCTGGCGTGCAGCTAAAATTATTTGATGAATGTTTCGCTCCGTAATTACGGAGAGCAGTTGTCAAAATGTTCCCAGCTATGGTCGTGAACGTTCAGACTGGTGTTGGAATTTTAACTGCCGAGAAACCAGGTGACATTGCTGCTAGTCAGACTGTTACGTAGTTCAACTACTCTACTGAAGTTACTGTAGTTTAACTACTTTTCTGAGTATTTCAGTAACTTCTAATTACATTTTTATTTCGGTAATTAGTAGTTTACTTTAATTTCTTTTTCCGAGTAACTTATACTCAAGTAATGAATTACTTTTGAATTTTAGTTGTAGGTTTGTAGGTCAACAAACATTCCTGCACAAAAATCGATAAGGTGCTGAAAGATCAGCTGATATTTGCAAAGAGAGGAAGCATGTGTCGTAGGCAAGGGGGGAGGGGGGTGGCTTGGAGGATCCTAAGCCCTTTAAAATTTTTACGAGCCCCCACTTCAACAACCCTGCTACCAGGAGTGCGGATCGGACAGACACGTCGCAAGTGAGGCCCAGTAAATGCGGGATTAGCGCCGAAGCCTGGCATTTCTTTTGTATCCTGAAGCTCAATGAGGCTTCACGTATTTGAAGAAAGTGTTTGTCCCCCTCCCCAACGTCGGAACTCTCGCCCACTCGCCCACACTGCAGCCTCACTCAAAGACGTCAAAAAAATGCAGCCCCCGCTCTGAAGCCCATCTGGTGCTCCCGTAGTTTGTGCTCTACTTGAGGGATCGCGTGCTAAAGGGCAACGCAAAGGTGACCTCATCACGTTGCCTTTCCTCCCAAAACTCAGCATATGCAGGTCTTCAAGATTCGAAGATGGTTCGAGAAGCTTAATAATTTCCCCAACGTTGTTACAAAAAGAAAAAAAAAAACTGAACAATTGGGAAGTACCTTAAGAATATGGTACTTGAAGTACTGTTTCAAGTAGGATTAAAAAACTTGTACTTTGCTTGATGTACATGCTTTGAGCATGTACTTGCAGTTTACTAAAATATCTTTTCTAGCAATTTCGGAAGAAGGTAAAATTCCCGACTTCAAAGTGCGTTTCCCAAATTAGTAAGTAAAGTAGTGGCGGCTATAAGACCGGTACAAATATTTGCTTTGTAAGTGTACTGTGTTAAATGGTTCGTCAGCGAGAGTAATGTAACGACTTGACTTTATCCAATATTTTCCGCCATTTCCGAAAAAAACTGACGCTCGTCCGATTACCCCCGGAGCAACGCATACCAGTCAAAATAAAGTTTTAAAAATAGGGTATAAAAGGGCATCATGAAAGATTGTTT